GGTCATTAAACATTCAATTATCATGTATTGGATTAAGTTTATAATTGTTGTCATTATAATGAATGTGTATTTATTCAATTAGAAATTGAATAGTTTTATATGATTGACTTTAATTACATGAAAAATTTGGTTAAGCCCAAAAATGAAAAAAAAAAGTACTTTCTTTTTTAGTTTTTATAATATTTAGTAACTAAGTGAATGTTGATATGGGTATGAATTTTATGTATTTGTATACCTTGGATACAAAGTTATAATTAAGGGATTATAAGAAATGTATAAATGAATAAATATAAATATGATGTGAATTTAAAAATAAGTACGAATATATTACCTCTGAATGTTACGGTATGGCTGAGAGTGGGGAGAGTTATCTGTTTCTCTCTCTCTCTCTCTGTTTTGAAATACTCTCACATGGAGACATGTATACAGACACTGCCAGAGAAGTCCTACTCACTGTCTTCTTTCACCTTTAATGTTCTTTACGAAATTGATAGGACATTAAACGAATGTTCAACATGTAAACTGTGTTGTCGAATATGGAGGATCCAATTAGAGGAGTTGGAAAACTTTAATTCTAAATCAATGGTCCATATAAGCTCCAGAATGCTGAAGGAAACAATTGTTGATTGAATCTCTGAACATTAATCCACTATCTTGTGGATTATACCTTTAGATCAAAGACTTCGGATGTGTCCCACCTCCCTAACAAAACTATTTACTTCGGTTTAAGCACTTGGATAATATCACAGCCTACACACAAATCAAGTGACTTGTGTGGCACTTATATATTTGGTTTAATTACGGTATTGATTGTGTAAATTGTAATGGATCAGTTTCTTCTAGTGTATGTTTTATATATTTTACGTCGACTAATACAATATTGTCGTAAAGTTTTAATCATTATTCTAGTCAGACTTAGATTGTGGCTAACAGTAGATTTCATGATGTCAGTTCCTTGTTATATTGAATTCACCATTTGAAATCAGTAATCATTTTTACTTCCGAAGTCAATGACTATTTGGATTCAGTAGATTAGTGGTCAATATATTGATTGTTGAAATATAAGACATTGAAGTAAACATCAATACAGGTTTAGGATGCAGATACATCTTGATGACAAGTTCTAAATACGACAAAATGTGCGCCCACTATTGAATTACTAGTCACACTATCCAAATTCAAACAATAATTGTGATCTATTAGCAGTGACTTAGTATTCTACTCAGTATGAACATATACCAATAGACACTCATCAAAATTCACTTGCCCCGGTATTGCCTTAATTCACAAGCATTCTAAATAAAAATGGATAGTGGTTAGCAATGGAATTCAGGTAGCGCGTTTAAACTTATTTAAGACTCGTCAGATAGATGTACCTACATCTCAGAGTTGATATTCACTCCGGGACTTCGGCCCAGTATCATTCACCTCAAATGCCATCGCGCTATCCACTTAACTACTGAGCCCTAATACCACTTGCTTGTGCAGTGTAGCTGGCTACATCCAATTGATGAGTCCCAAATAGGACGAAATGCGTGTCTTTCATCTCATTGCTAGCCAACATCTATTTCTACTGATGATAATTATTTTGTTTAAAATTTTATTCTTTTTAACAAATTGCAAATAAAAGGATGAATGATTCATTTTATAATTTCGGTGGGAAATTTAATGACACATTAATATCATTATGAGTAACAAAGTCAAGAACACCTTTTTCCACATACCTAACATAAAGTTACTTACTTACTTACTTGCGCCTGTTGCTTCTCATGGAGAAGTATAGATTGCACACCAGCATTCTTCATCCAATTCTGTTCTAGATAATCCTTTTCACTTGTGTCCAGTTATTATTCATCTTTTTCATGTCTGTTTTCGACTCCCGACTCAGTGTGTTCTTTGGCTTTCCATTTTTCTGTTTCCCTTTAACATTCCAACTTAGCGTTTGCCTCGTGATGCAGTCTGATTATTTTCTCAATGTGTGTACTATCCACTCCCAATGTGTTTTTTCCTAATTTTCTCTTTTGATTAGCGCTTTTTAGCTAGGTTGTTTTCTACAAGATAAGGTTGCTGAATCCATGCCTAACCTTCCTCATTTACCCGGGCTTTGGATCGGTAGTAGTCCTAGAAAAGCTACAGGCGGAGTTGACTTTTATTTACTAATATTTTACTGAGTAGGTTTGTTTTAAACCAAACAGTGATCTTCAACTATATTTAAATAAGATTCAAATACAAGTGCGCGATCTTGTGCCCTATTAATATATAAACGTAACGATACCGCCAATTAGAGAACAGTGACTTATTAATAGAACTAATAATGCATAAACCCGTACAAGAAGTTTAGAGTCTTTATCGGTCCTTCTTCCTGACTAGTCTTGTCTGACTGTTGAGTCCAGGACATTAATCTCAGCCTCAGTGATATAAATAATGTACTTCAAACATATTCGGTTTATAAATTCACTTGATATTATTTGCTTGTATCTTTCCATTGTTGTTAACGACTGCAATTGATCAGTCTCTTGTTAGCATATGAGCATTCTATGCTGTCACAAGCATTATAAGCAAAGATCGGTAGTGGCTAACACTGGAATTCAGTACATGCGTTTCATCTTATTTGGGACTTGTCAGCTGGATGTACCTACATCTCAGAGTTGATGTCCTCTCTGAGACTCCAAAATAGTACTCGGTTTATATAGAAACCAAACAGACCAAATCATAGTACGAGGTCTAGCCAAAAGTTGCTATGAATATGGTAGACTGTAATGAACAGACTGGGCATAACTCAAGAATGGTAAATCGTATAATAATAGTCTATGAGTCAAAATAAAGCTTATAATAAGAGAAATATGAATATACATAATTTAGTTACATAACAATTATACAATAAGTAATATCTGTACAGCATTAGTTCATAGATCGATTCCAACAGTTCCCATCCACTATTCTCATCAAGATATAACAAAAATGCCATTTCAACAATGATAATGTTTGAGATTATCTATTCATTTTTCAGCACTCAGAAAGTGTTTATTACGGGAATTGTTGTACAAATCTAGTGATTGAGTGTTACATATAAAAGTTCAATTTCCAATGAAGATTTCATTTCAATTCCTAACTTATACTAATTGAATTTATTAATCGATATAAGCTAGACCATCATGGAAAACCTGAAAGCACTGGACGGCCGTTTTGTCCTAGTGTGGAACTCCTCAGCAATGAGCATCCACGATCTCACTTCCCCGCGAGGTTCAAACCTAGGAAATATCAGTCTCGCGCGCGAGCGCTTACCCATCTCCATAAAACCCCTTCTGACAATAATCATCTGCTCACTAGTGACTGACTTCAAGAGGCCTTTCCTGGAGTTCGAGTGAGAAGCCGTAACCAGTGAAGTTTAAACAGGTTTGTTTTGAGATATCAGATCACTGAAGACATTGGTGTACCTTGACTCAATTTCGTAAATTGGTTGAAGTTAGACATTAACGCCGTTGGATACCGACCAGCTCATTAGTCTAATGGTTAAGCGTTCACACTTGAGCGGGATCGTGGATAAGCACTGTCGAGGAGTGTCATACTAAGACGAAACGACCATCCAGTGATTCCAGGTTTTCCATGATTGTCTACCTTCCATTGACATATGATTTCAACTATTGAAATTTTAGCGAGACTCTAATTTATGGACGACATTTGAACGAATCTCAATTGACCCTGAGAAATATTAGCCAATCAGCAAACAGTCAGTATAGAGTATAAATATGTTATACAAAACCAAGGAAATAAAGTCGATACACTTCTTATACGTGGTTCAAAACCTCATCAAGGTGAGAAAGAGGTTCAGAGGTTCTATAACCGTAATGCATCCAGTAGATGAAATCATTCATACGACTATAGAATAGTCGGCCTCTGGAGTCATGTTAAAGTCTTAAATACTCTTTCAGCCTTGACCACATAGCTTCAATATTGCTTTTGTGCACTCCGGTTGTTGAGTGCACAAAATTCTACTTGTGGATAACGACACGATGCAGATAACCAAGCCTATGTAGGAATCTGTACGCTCTCAGAACATCCATATATGTTGTAGTGCCTGGCTTCAGCCTGTGTTACTGTTGCTTTTATTATCCAGTTCGCGGTCATTGTCATAATTTGCCTTAGTTAGGAATTATATATGGGGTTTTCATCACGAACTAACACAAGCTATAATGCGAGAAATTTATTTAGCCAAATGAATGAAAGGCTTTCGCGTTAAAATTCGAGATCTATTATCTTATACCTGATTGTTTCGTTCACAAATTATAGTCTCGCCATTTTATTTGTTATAGCTGCTCATTTATCACGTTTTGTATAAAATTCCCCGTGAACCGATTGTACATTAGCATTAAGCACTGAAGTTGGTGCCGTAACTTTGAAATCTCTAAAAAGCCTCTGATTGGCACGTCCATAAATTAGATTCTCGCCGAAATTTCTATTATAAATCATTGTATACTACTTATATCGACATAAGTACTTGATATCATATGATTACGTAATCATAATCATATTAATAATAATGTGATCACAATTGATTGATCACTGGGTGGCGATCAATGTCATACATGTCTATTCCTTATTAGTGCAGACCGAATGCAATGAACCATGTTGCAATGTGGCCACCAGTCTAGGCGACTCGACATTGCAGGCATTATATATTGAGATTTAGATGGTGGTTGGAGGTAGTCGACAAAAAACCCTGGATCCAGGTTTCGTGCTACTTAGCACTCGTCAGCAAGGTGTACCTGTAATCTTGAGGGAACTGATGCTCCCTGACGGATTCAATCTCGTGTCACCCAGCTTCACAATCAGAGACGTTACCACTGAGCTATCCTCCTGTAGGACTAAGATGTCATCGAAATGGATTGATCACTGAATGGTGATCAATGTCATACATGTCTAGTCCTAATTATTAGTGCAGATTGAATGCTATCGATCATAATCATGTTTACTTATATATTGATTATTATTGATTTTAGGTGGACAACGTGCTGAACGTAAAAAATGGTTACATTGTTTTGAAGGTGTTACTGCTATTTTATTTATAGTTGCTATGTCAGAATATGATTTAAAATTAGCTGAAGATCAAACAACTAATAGAATGCATGAATCATTACAATTATTTGATTCAATATGTAATAGTCAATGGTTTGTTGAAACAAGTATGATATTATTTTTAAATAAAAAAGATTTATTTAATGAAAAAATACAAAAATCACCATTAACAATATGTTTTCCTGAATATACTGGTGAACAAACATATGAAGAAGCATCTAATTATATAAGAGAAAAATTTGAAGATGTTAATCGTAGAAAAACAACTAAAACAATTTATACACATTTTACATGTGCTACTGATAATAATAATATACGTGTTGTATTTGATGCTGTTATAGATGTAATTATTAAATCAAATTTAAAAGATTGTGGTTTATTTTAATAATGAATTACTATAGATACTACTGATTAACTTATTAAAATCAGTAATGAATATAATTTAGTTTTAAAATATATATTGAATATTGAATAATGAATTCAATAAAACATCACCACCACCACCATCACAATCACCACCACCATCAACAGCAATAACAACATACACACATACACACGGATGCATACCTACGCACACACACAATGTATACATATCAAAATAGAATCGATTCAAACAAGTGTGTGTGTGTGTATGTGGGAGGGAGGAGAACATACACAGAATGTTTTTCTTTTTTTTTGAAAGAGAAAAAAAACATGAAGAGTGTTCAGTTGTATTTATAAAACAGGGAAAAAAACCCCGCAAAAAAGAAACAATTTGGCTAATTTGTTTAATAATTTTGTTCATTATTATTTTCTTCGTTTTTTTGTTTTGTTTTGTTTTCTTTTAATGTACTTCATTGAATATTGGATATTGTAATGATTAATATGATTGTTTTCAACGGAATAATGTTTATTGACTATATTACTTAATTCTTTTGCCCCTCTCCCTTCTCATCCTCCCCCTCTTCCTCCTCCTCTTCCTCTTTCTTCTTCTTCTTCTTCTTCTTCTTCTTCTTCTTCTTCTTCTTCTCCACCACTTCCTCCCCCGTCTCTTTTTATTCTTGTTCTTCTTCGTCTTCTTCTTCTCCTCTTCCTTCCTTCGCTTTCTACTATCCGGGCTTGGAACCGGTAATAGTGTTAGAAGAGTTATAGATGAAGTTCTATTTTAATGATAATCAGGTTAAAATAATCAAATGAAACTTCTTCTTTATTTTTAACGAGCAGGTTATATCTCGTGTTTTATTGTGTTTTTTTTTGTATTATTATTATTATTATTATTATTATTATTATTATTATTATTATTATTATTATTATTATTCCATAATACACTTATTATAAATGTACTATAATATACTATTTGTTTAGTCTTTTTAAATTAAATATAACATTGTGATCATTGAAGTTTGACAACACTTTAACTAGTAACACCTTCTATAATCATCAAAACGTGTTAATCCAATGAAATCAAAAATTAGAAATGAAGACGTTTGAATATATTTTCTGATTAGAAAGTAGGTTTTTTATGGGATGGGGTCGCTAACTTCATGCTCAACTGTTCTTCTTTATCTGAGCTTGGGACTAGGAGTAATTCTAAAAGAGCTACAGGTGAAGAGATTTGTAGATATATTTCATAAGTTATTGATATCACTGATTAAAATCATGAGTCAATTGAAGCTAGACCACTATGGAAAATCTGGAAGCACTGGACGGCTGTTTCGTCCTAGTATGGGACTCCTCAGCAGTGCGTATCCACGATCCCGCCCGCAGGATTCGGACCCAGATCCTTCAGTCTCGCGCACAAACGCTTAACCTACTGGACCACTGGGCCAGCACCCAATGGTTCTAGTTCTAGTGATGGCTATGATGGCCATAGTAAGAGTACATTGTACGAAATCCAGGGAGGGAACTAAAACACAACTTGATATCATTTCATGAAACTGTTGACTATTTTGAGATAGAATGGTGGTTGGAGATAGTCAATAGGAAACCCTGGACCAGGGTTTCGTGCTCTTTGTCACTCGTCAGCAAGTCGAACCTGGAATCTCGAGGGAACTAATGCTCCCTGACGGATTCGATCCCGTATCACCCAGCTTCACAGTCAGAGACGTTACGGTTGGCCTATCCGGGTCCAGGGTTTCCTGTTGACTACCTCCAACCACCATTCTATCTCAACATAGTGCCCGCAATGTCGAGTCACCTAGACTAGTGGCTACATTGTAGCTTAGTCGATAGCATTCGATTTACTCTAAGAAAGACTTGACACACATGCCATTGGTCACCATCAAGTGACCAGTCAACCATGTGGAAAAATATAGACTATCGGTTGTTGGAAAGTCTGGATAATATGGCTCAAAATAAATCATAATGTATAAAAATGTATCCACTGATTGGTATCTCTTAGATCTTACTTATCAAAAATATCTTATACATCTGATTATACTATTCAAGTCTAATTTTTCTATTAACACTAATACTATTATCATTATTACTGTGAATTTCATCCTGTTGTAATATTATGATATAACCACTCGAACCAATGCACATGATTACTAGATTCTAGGTTGCTTATATAACTAACTAACTGAAGGTATTTCCTCTCTTATTTGATATATTTGTCATAAGTATAATTAATTATTTTTGAACAATATACCCACTATTATGGTGTATACTACTGATATTGACAGATATAAGTGGTAGCATGTATCATCAATCGAAAGGGAAACGTTTGACAATAGATGGTTAAGTAGATCGACGAGAACGAGAACAAAGAGTGGTTGATGTAGAAAAGAAGAATCTGAAACAATTGATTGACATTTTTGCAAATGAAGTATCTACTGTATGGTTCTCAGATGTTCCTAAGAGATATTGTAATTTTGTGTTGTAGTACATTTGATTGTTTCCATTTGTATTCTCATTCACTACACTGTTATACCAGTTTTAAAATATGGTTGTTTAATAGAAAGTATAGAAAGGTTGAACATAGTTCAAACCAATAACCCTGAAAATAATCCATTGATTCGTTGAACGTACTTACTTACGCCTGTTACTCCTAATGGAGCATAGGCCGCCAACCAGCATTCTCCAACCCACTCTGTCCTGGGCCTTCCTCTCTAATTCCATCCAATTCTTGTTCATTTTACTCATGTCTATGTCCATTTCCCAGCGTAATATGTCAATTGGTAGATGCGCACTGCTGAGGAGTCCCATACTAGGACGAAACGGCCGTCCAGTGCTTCCAGGTTTTCAATGGTGGTCTAGCTTCAACTGACTCATTTCAATCTGTGAAAATTTCCTTTTTCCGTCTGTATAATGGATACCAAGTTAAAGCTTGCTTCATGATGCACCTTGAAGATTTCTGCAATGTATGTTCTATCCACTTACGACGTCTTCGCTAAATTTCCTCTTCAACTGGAAACAGATTTATTTTCTCCCACAGTAGGCTATCGCTGATGGTATTCGGCCAATAGACACTGAGTATCTTGAGTAGACAATTGTTGAGAAATACTTGTACTCTTTTGATAATGATTGTGGTAGTTCTACAAGTTTCAGCTCTGTACAGTAGAACTGTCCGGAAATGCGTATTGAAGATTCTCACTTTCACGTTATTCTGAAAACTGTTGTTTTGAGTTCCATATATTCTTCAACTGTACGAATGCTGTCCTTACTTTGCTAATCTTCGCACTCACGTCTGCATCAGATCCTCACTGTTCACCGATGATGCTGACATGGCATATGAATGTTTCCATCTATTCCAGAGCCTCGCCATTAAGTGTTGTTAGGCCTGTGTTCTCCGTGTTGTATTTGAAGATCTTGCTTTCGCCCTTGTTTATGTTGAAACCTACTGATGCAGAGACTGCTGCTATACAGGTTTTCATGACCAATATTTGTTCGTGTGTAGAAGGAGCAGGTTATGTGCGAAGTCTAACTTTTCCACTTGATTTCGAGCTGTCCACTGAGTTCCATGCTTCCGCTCAGATTTGGAAGTCTTCATAATCCAGTCGACCACTAGCAGAAGAAATGGAATGGGGGAGGCTAGGTAGCCTTGTCTGACTCCGTCTGACGCCTCACTTGGAATGCGTCTATCAACAGTCCTCCATGCACCATATGGCACTGTATTCCGTCGTATGAATTCCAGATGACAATGACGATCTTCCCAGATACACCATAGTGTCGAAAAGGTTTCAATAATGTACTCCTATCCACACTGTCAAACGCTTTCTCATGGTCAATGAAGTTGATTTGTAGTGATGAGTTCCATTCATCAATTGGTTGTTCAACGATTATGCGTAGTGTCGCAATTGGGTCTGTGCACGATCGATCCTTATGGAATCCAGTCTGCTGAACTCGAAGCAGGACGTCTACTGAATGTTTCACCCGATTCAGCAACAATCTGTTGAGAACGATTCCTGGTACCAATGATGTTGTGATTCCTCTATAGTATTCATGTTTGATCAGATTTGCTTTCTTCGATATCTCGATGAGTTGTCCTTCTTTCCAGTTCGTCAGCACTTGTTCTTCCCAACAAATCTTCCTGAATGGAACGTGGAGCATGTTTGCAGTTGCTCGTCTGTGTGACTCCAGTTCTTCAGCTGGTAAATTGTCAGATTCTACTGCTTTCCCGATCTTCATTCATTTGAAGTTTATCCTGATTTATTCGATCGTTGGTGGAGTGACATCTATAAGAATATCTCTGTGTGCTACTTTGATATCCAGTAGATTTGATGGAACCGGCCTATTCAGGTGTTCGTCAAAGTGTTTTGTCCATCTATTCCTTTGTTCTTCAGTCTCAATGACTGTATTGTCTTCTTTGTTCTTGACCGGTCTCTCTGGTTTACTATATTTCCCTACTAGTTTCTTCATCGTGTCACATAGTTGTTTCATATTTCCTGCTCTTGCAGCTTTTTCCTCTGTCGTTGCTAGCTCTTCCACGTATTTCTGCTTGTTGGCTTCGATGTTCTTCTTCACTTGTTTGTTTGCTTTTGTGTATTGAGCTTGTGCATTGACTTTCACTGTGCTTGTTCGACACCTATACCCAACTCTCCTTTTTTACCCATGATTGGAACTGGTAGTAATCCTAGAAGAGCTCATGCAGTGTCAGAAATCTGACACATCATAAATTTTTCAGAAACTATAAAATTTATCGGTTTTATACTTTGAATCGGTGAATCATCATTGTAACAATCAGTGGTTTACACTTTCTTTTAATTAGTCCCTAATATAAAACAATGATAACTGATTCTTCCTGGTTTTAAACATCTATTTCAGGAATTCACTTGATATTGTTTGGCTTGTATGTTCCCTTTGAGGTTTTAAGACTGCAATTGATAAGTTTGTTATTGGCATATGTGCATACTGTGCGTATGTCTGGATATCGCGTTATCTATTTCATAATTATCTCATACAGTT